CAGACGGGGGGAAATGTTTTTCTCTGGGGCATCATGCCTCCATGTTTCACTGCCCCCCCCCCACACTACCCCGGTTTCCCCTACTCAACATTATTACATTGGCTCCAGGTCCCAGCCTGCTGCCCCCCTGCCTCACCTCGGCCATCCTGGTACCTGGAGGGCCCTGCTCCCAGGGGAAGTGCCAGTGGGCCTGAGCCTGGCTGCGGGAGAGGCTCCACACATCAGGCTTCTTGGGAACCCAGGGGCAGGCACCTGCCAGCCCGTGTCACCCCCAGGCACCTCGGGCAGGCCCCTGGGGCCGGGGAGACCCTCCCCGGAGGCCCGCCACAGGCTCCAGGGGGGAGCAGGAGGCTGGAGGCTTGCGGGTGGACTCAGAGGCGGCTCCATCCACTCCACACGCTGCGCTCAAAGTTACCTTTTGGAGCCTGGGGCCAGGCGCCTGCCGGCTCTGCCGCCCCCAGGCGCCTTGGGCAACCCTGCTGGGCTGGGCAGACCCCACCTGGAGGCTCTGGGGGGCGGGGAGCAGCAGCAGGCCGGAGGTTTGCCTGGTGAACTCGGAGCCGGCTCCATCAACTGACCGGTGCAGGCAGGGGGCCGCTTTTCCTGGCTGGTGCTGACCCAGCTGGGTCCATCCCATCCGGAGCAGCACGCAGCTGAAGTCAGCTTCCCACGTGCTGCTGGGGACAGGAGGAGCCCAGCCAGGTCGGCACCAGCCAGCAGAAGTGGTGGCGGAGCGTGTGCTGCTCAGGACTGACCGGTGCACAGGTAGGGGGAAAATGCAGCTGAACTCTTCCTTGCAGATCAATTTCTGGTCGCTTTCCCTGAAAGAATAGTTAGCTAAAAGCCAATCAAAGAAATTGCATAGTTCTCATTGTGTATTCGATGACATGCCTGAAACAGATTTGTTTAGGTATTGAGAAACTTCTTTTGTTTCCTTCAACTTAAGTAGAACTGGTTCAAACCTAAAATAATAATGGGAATTATTAGTCAAACATCAATTGTCTATGAAGTAGGAGAGATCTGGAAGAGATGGACACACCAGCTCTTCAACAAACTAATATCTTTGACTCTGTCAGTAAAGATGGTCAGTTTCTCCTTGTATAAAATACATAAAGTGTTCTGAAACCCAGTTATCTAAACTGCCTTGTCTTTGGATCTCTCTCTCTCTCTCTCTCTCTCTCTCTCTCTCTCTATATATATATATATATATATTATGGATATGTGTATATATCTGTCCAAATCTTTTGGTTACTTTGTGTGCGCACATATACACACACATACAAATAAGTTTAACAAAATTTACTCCTATCTGTCTATCTGTCTACTTGTCTATCTCTGTGTGTGTGTGTATACTGAAAGAGTAAATTTTGTTAAACTTAATCTCTGCTTCAGTGTTGTGCATTCAGTAACACTGCCATGAGCATGTACAGTCAAAGTCTCAGGCTTTTTCCAAGCAGATCTCCTACTGTTTCTCCTGCTTCTTTTAAAAAAGAAGGAAAGAAGAAACTGCAAACCTTAGTAGTTTAAAGGCAGGAAACCTTGTCCATAGGTCTGTGAATACTTCTACCAATTGAATCTCCAAAACTTCTGATGTTGGTAAGGAATGGGATATTTTATAACACCTCTATACCATACATCCCTACTGGAGACTAACATGCATATACTGTTGAGAACTCTTTTTTTGTCTGGCATATTTATTTAGGTAATGTTATAAGCTATGTATATGATAGCAGGATTTGCTGATCCAGTGTTAGCACAGAATAGATACCTTGGTCTCTTTGGAACCATAAATCTTGAGCATAACCTATGATGAAAGACTGTTCTTCAAAAAATAGAGACATCTGCTTTATGCATTTTTTCTCTCTCAATTCCAGTATGTGCTGACAGACTTGACTTCTGTTTTATTCCTTGGGGGGGGCTGCAGGTGGTCTCTCCATAGATTTGAAAGCTGCCTACAACTGTTTTTTGAAGTCTTGTGAGAAAGATGGGAAGAAATCCATAAATGCCTGTCACAATGTTGGACTGCTGGCACATGACGGACGAATAAATGACGATAAACCTGACCTAGACGTTGCCAGAGACTACTATGATAAAGCCTGTAATGGCAGCTTTGCCCCTAGCTGCTTCAACCTTAGTGCAATTTACCTCCAAGGAGCCCCTGGGCTACCAAAGGATATGAACTTGGCTCTGAAATACTCTCTGAAAGCATGTGACTTGGGACATGTGTGGGGATGTGCCAATGCCAGTCGGATGTACAAACTGGGGGATGGGGTTGATAAAAATGATGACAAGGCAGAGGCTCTGAAAAAGAGGGCAAAAGACCTACATAAAGAACAGAGTGAAGCTGCAACATTAATATTTGGGGAGTAAATCAAATTAAACCACATCTTTTAGGGCAGCATTTCTAAATGGAGCATAAACTTTTATCAGTGAATAATATGTAAACATAACTCATTCCTTCACAAGAGACAAGTACCTGTTTGCATTGGCAGACGCATGTTCTATGGCTTCAACAGATACATGCACAACTTGAGAGGACAAACATTTAGGGCCAGGTTTTACACAAGATCCAGCAAATATCAAAGGTGCACTTCTACCTGCTCATTTCCAGCTGAAATCTTCCACATGTAGAGTTGTGCTAGACCAAATTCGATTTTGAATGCACCACATTTTGTTTGTGCAGAGTTACTTAAACATGGGCATGCAAATGGCCTAAAATATCAGTCATGCTTTCTGACTAAGGCTTCCTTTGAAATGTAAGATGTTTGCGCTCTTGAATGTTCCTTTTGGCCAAAACTAGGCACTTGGGTTTTGGTTTCTTATGCCATGCTTCCCTCCACTGATTTGGAAGAGTATCTGCCTTTAACTGAAGGTAGCATTTGCTGTCTTTTGAATTTCATTTCCATAGCTGTATTAAGACCTGAATGACCCAAATAGATGATTTATTGCTGAAGTGAATAATACAATAAGAAAAGAAATGTTGCTGTTTGGAATTGTAACAAAAGGGATAAAAACTAGCTGGCATGGTGATGGGATTTGAAACTTAAGAAGCCATATATAGAACAGTCTTGGCTTCCTGATTCAGCTAAATCTCACGTTGGTCTGAATGTCATTAAATGCCCTTTGTGTAAATGGTTTCTAATTGATTACAACTGACAAAGTATTGTGTTACAGAATGAGAGGTATGCTTATTTTTAAAGTGTCCCATGCAAGTGTGTGATCCAAGCAAGAAATTCCTTCTCAGACAAAATTTCAGTCTTCATCTGGGAGTGTGCTGAGTGAGACCATCAAGCTGTGACTGATAGGCTTGTCCTATACAAAATAGGTCAGTGAATTAGGGTGAAATATTCCTATGTCTTACCACTAAGGAGTGCTTGTGCTCTTAAAACCACACAGTACTTTTTTCACTTGAAAGTAAGAGGCATCAAGCTGGAATAATTTTATACGATGGAGTTCCAGTTAACTTTTTTTTCTATTAGGGGCCACCTTCAAACCTGTCATCTAGGCCCAACCCAAAGAGAATGGGCTGAAAGGCTTCCTGTCACTCTTGCACTGTTGCCTAGTCCTAGCTTTGTACTTACCCTGCCCTTTGTCAGCAGACCCCAGGTACCACACCGCAGCTGCCCAAGTGCTTGCAGCTACAGTACTGTGGTGGTTCTACATGATTTCACTTCGCAGCCATGCTGTCAGAGTGTGACATGCACCCCAGAAAGAAATCAGCTCCACAAGGGACCATGGTGGCCAGCAGAAAACTTAGAGAGACAGCTTGCTTCCACTGGGAGCCTTCTTCCACTTGGCAGAGGAGGAGTAACTGCTGGCAGGAAGCAGGCTTGTGCTGAGTATGAACACACTCCTAAGTTCTGCCAGCAAAATCTGAGTGTAGACAAAGCTGCCCATTCTACCTTATCGCAGCTCCTGCCCAGCCCTGCAATGCTTACTGAAGGGGGACAAGCTGGGAGTCCAGACACCTTGTTTGACCATTTGTACTGCAAAGCCATGCTTATCGTGCTGCCTCACATATATTGCAGTTTATAAAGAAAATGCATTCAGGAGCGTTTGATTTCCATACCAGGACTGTGCTCTATTATCATTCTTAGTTGCATCATAGTAGCATTATCTAGAAATTTCTAAGGAAGTGGGGGTTTTATTGTAGCAGACACTTTTATCATCCCCCTATTGTATAGCTAAGGAACTGGGACAGATTAAATGACTTGACCAAGGTTACATGGGAAGTCAGTGGCAGAGGTGGGAATTTAAACCGGATTTCTTAGATTGCAATCCAGCTCCTTAACCAGAGATGCAATCCTTCTGTCTGGGCATCTTCCAGCCTTTATTCTGTATGCTGTTTACAATCAAGCTGAAATGTTTCTCTTCCACTTTCTTACTCTCTGTCATGGATACCCTGAAGCAGATGGAATCCCTGCTGAAATCTTCAAGCAGGGTGGAAAGGAGCTTATATCCACAGCTCCTTCCCCTCATCTTAAGGATCTGGAACGATGAGGAAACCCTAGATAACTTCAGGGATGCCATAATTATGACAGTCTTCAGGAAAGGAGACTGGACCAACTGTGGAAATTACAGAGGGATCGCCTTGCTGTCCACCGTGGGAAAGATCATTGAGAGAACCCTCCTGATCGGTCTCCCTCCACTTTCTGAAGAGCTGCTCCCAGAATCTTAGTGTGAATTTAGGGCATCAAGAGGCACAACTGACATGATCACTGCTCATCAACTGCAGGAAAAATGCTGGAACAACATAAACCTCTCTACCTGGCCTTCTTTGATCTCACAAAAGCCTTTGACTGTCAACCAAGAAGCGCTGTGGAGGATCTTTCTAAAGTATGGATGCCTAACAAAATTCATTGCCATTATTTGCCTGCTTCATGAAGGTATGTGAGCAGTGTTCTCAGTAATGGATCTATCGCAGATCCCTTTGAGGTTAAGATGGGAGTTAAGTGAGGCCATGTCATCACTTCTAGATATTTCTTACCATGATGCTACATCCGACCACCACCAGGCTTCCAGTTGGAGTGGAGCTGAACTACTAAATGGATGGATGGCAAGCTGCTTAACCTCAGCCAATTTGGGGCCTTTATACATGCAACAAAATTGGCCTTTAAAGCAGCTTAATTGCCCTTTTGTACCACTAATGGCATTGCTATTTACACGCTCGGTGGCATATTCCGCTTTAATGGCATTGCTATTTACACACTTGGCAGTGTATTCTACTTGAAATGACTTTGTAACATAGCAAAGTAAAATCCAACCGAGGTGTTTTAGTTTGCTACCTAACAAAGTTCAACAGTGCATGGGGTGCTGGAAGCCGATGTGCTCGGGGAAGCTTGTGCTTGGCGGACTTCTAGCACTGTGTCCCCCACCACCTTCTTCTGCCGCCCCCCTCCCGCTTTGCTGCTCTGCCCCAGGGGCAGGCCACTGATTCCCAGGCAGTGGGAAGGTGCCGGGGACAGTGCATGGGGTGCTAGAGCTTATCTGCCTCTCCTGTGGTGGGGCAGCAGGGGCAAGCTGCCAGCTGGCTGAGTGGTCCAGTTTTGGGCTCCACAATTCAAAAAGGATGTGGAGAAGCTTGAGAGAGTCCAGAGAAGAGCCACGTGCATGATCAGAGGTCAGGAAAACAGACCTTACGACAGGCTGAGAGCTATGAGGCTCTTTAGCCTGGAAAAGTGCAGGCTCAGGGGTGATCTGGTGGCCACCTACAAGTTTATCAGGGTGACCACCAGGATCTGGGGGAACATTTGTTCACCAGAGCGCCCCAAGGGATGACGAGGTTGAACGGTCATAAACTACTGCAAGACCGTTTCAGGCTGGACATAAGGAAGAATTTCTTTACTGTCCAAGCCCCCAAGGTCTGGAACAGCCTGCTGTCGGAGGCGGTTCAAGCACCTACATTGAACACCTTCAAAAGCAAATTGGATGCTTATCTTGCTGGGATCCTATGACCCCAGCTGACTTTCTGCCCTTTGGGCGGGGGGCTAGACTCGATCTTCCGAGGTCCCTTCCAGCCCAAATGTCTATGAAATCTATGAAATCCCTGAGCTGTGGGGGACCCCGGTGCTTCCCTCCACAGTGGTGGCACTCCCCAGGCAGTATCCACCTGCTAGCACCCGACCTGGGTGGTCCCGGGAGTGCTGCTACCGTGGATGGAAGCACTGAGGCCCTGTGCAGCTCAGGGGTTGTGACCCAGTGACAGATCGTGCAGGCAGGTTCGACTGAAGGAAAAAAAATGGTGAGGAGCCTGATCTTTTTTTTGTTTTCTTCAGTCAAGCCTGCCTGCATGAGCAGATACCAACAGAAGCTGAGGCAGGCTCTGGCTGTGACTCAGCGGGGCAGGGTGCCTGATGTGTGCCCACACCCCACAACTTTTATTACGCCGACAGCTGGCAGGGAGGGGAGCGGAGGAGAGGCCCGGAGATGGGGGGAAGCCCCTGCACCCAGAGGCGGTGGTGGCAACGGAGGGAGTGTTTAAATGGCCGCCCCCTGCTCACCCTTTGGGGTCAGCCATGCAAACTCTCCTTTGAAATCTGTCATTCTTGATGGGCAATTGGCTAGTATTTAATAAAGCAATACAAACTGAGGAGGCTTGTATTAGTAAGGAGTAAGATAAAATGTACATGCTGTGGCAATAGATGGCAGTGTGAGTAAAACATTCTGATTTACACTAGAGTACAGAAACCCCACTATAGCAACTGGTGATACAGCAATGGCAGCAAGCGATTTTTGTCTCACTGTAGCTAATACTTTTTTAGCCAATTAAAGAAAATAAAAGTAAGCATTATTTCAGGGTAAGCAAAACAACAGATTCATGGCCAGATTCTGGTTTTCATCTTGTGTGTTCATATATACCAAGGCAAAGTAGGTGTAAAATGCTACTTCTGGTGCCAGACTGGAGCATTTAGCCCTTTAGAAAAGGTGAAAGGCAGGGAAGAATTAGGCCCATCAACACAGAATCTTAAACCTTAAATCATTCTCTTCATTTCCTTGAGCAGACGGGCCCTGCTCATGGAAACCAGGTCGCTCAGATCTTTGACTCATCAACCAAATATCAGAGCTGCCTTGCTGAGATGCACTTTGTCCTGGTAGGATAAGTGATTACGGAAGCTGCGCCTACAGCTCACAAGCAACATAACCAGACATCTGTGGCTGACAGACTTGTATGGAGCATTCACAGATAACACTGAAACATGTTGGTCCACCTCATTTCAGCACAGGACAGGTGACATGGTTAATAAGCCCACAGAAGCAACTGTCAGCCTTGTTTTGATTATCAAGAATCCTATTTGATTACATGATCTGTGAAAAAGTCATACTACGCACATGATTTACAGCCATCAGCATGCTCTTTCATGCTCTTCAGTACTTGTTAATGCTCTTACGTTACAAGGGCATGTAATTTAGCTTTTCTGGGAGGAAATTACTGCTTCCACAATCACTGCGGTTTTGTACAGTTAGTGTGACAGACATACCAGTATACATAGAGCAGTGTACACAGAAATAAGGCAGAACTGGAAAGTTTTGGAAACCTGAGAGTCCTCCTAAGCCTATTGGGCTAGGGTGACTAAGTCACACCAAGCTCTAGCCAACAGCACACAAAGGAGCAATGCGGCTAGTATCACAACTAACCACCTTTGACTTCCCAGCCCAGCCCAGGTACCCATTTACCTATCTGGGTCAGCTGTGGGCAATCCTAAGTACAAGTCCAGAGCAGGCAGGACTTGACCTCCCAGCTCTAGATCCAGAGGGAGAGATGGTAACTGTTCTGCTCTGTTCTGCCACTATTTGTCCCTCCATTCAGTGCATTGGAGGATAAATAAAGGAATATGTCCAAAAACACTTGATAAGTAACTCATTTTCATTTTCTCTTTAGCTAATTAGGAGCCTAAGTCCCAATGGGTGTGTCTACCCAGGACACTTTACTGTGCATTAAACTAATCTAATGCTCAGTAAGGCACCACCATTGACATGCGCAGCAATTACTGTGCAGTAAATTAGTTTAATGTGCAGTTTGCTAGTACCTGTAGGTACAGGTTCTAGATTAACTGCGCATTAGATACTGTGCAGTAGCACATGTATAGACACTGACTGTGAGCAAATTGCTCCCAGGCAGCAGGGGCCAGGGGAACTGTCCCGTCTCCCAGGCAGCTGCCTCCCAGCTCCGT